AAACAAGTTTTAAGTGTCAAAATTAACACCCAACTTTATCAACAATTAAAGACCCAAATTGGCAAAGGAAAAATCAGTGAATTTGTCGAAAAGACTCTCACGGAAAAATTAGAACAAAAAGAGCAAGAACTGGAATTAGCCTATAAAGAAATCGCTCAAGATAAAAAACGATGAAAACTAACTAAGGAATGAGAAAAAGCCGCTTTATCTGATTTAAGAAAGAAAACTAAATAATTATGACAGAACGAATCTTCAGACGAGGTGAAATTTATTGAGTTAATATCGAAAATGAGGGAGAAAATGTAAAAAAGGAACAAAAAGGTTCAGAGACCCAAAAAAGTCGACCAGGTGTAATTATCTCTAATAACAAACAAAATCAGTTTAGTGGAGCGGTGATTGTAGCCCTAATTACTTCCCAAACGGATAAAGTTTATTTTTTTGAAGTGGAGATAGAAGTAGAAGGTAAATCAAATAAGGTTATTACTGACCAAATTTACACTGTGGACAAAAACCGCTTAGAAAGGAAAATGGGAGTTTTAAACGAAAAACAATTAAGGAAATTAGCCGCGGGATTACACACTGTTTTAGAGTTAAATTGTGGCATGAAAATTAGTTACGAGTAAAGAAACAAGGAAGAAAAGTTTAGAAGATTTTTAATGAATTATTTAATTAGAACTAGGTGAATTTGTAAAACTTCTTTTTTTTACTATAAAAAATTAAATTATGAAAGATATTTGGATAGAAAAGTTTAATTTCAGCAAATTAATAAAAAAACTGATCGAAGAAAATTCTAGACTTTCCTTGCCGGCCTACCAACGAGAATACAGTTGAGACACCGATAATTGAAAAGAACTTTTTGATGACATCAAGGAAATTAAAGAAAAAAATAAGAAAAAGAAAGAAGGAGAAAAACCTAACATTTGATTTATCGGAAGCATTATTTTGCAAAAAAAACCGAATGGAAATGATTATGAAATTATTGATGGCCAACAGCGAATAATTACTTTATTCTGTAATTCCTAACCCTATCATGGATGGAATTGAAACTATTAATGAAGATAGAAAAAAATTGCTCCGTTTTTTATTTCATGATTGATATGAGGGTTATAAGCGCGAAAAGGCTCTTTCATTACGAATAGAACTAGATAACCATGATGACCAAATTGATTTGCGAAGAATTATTCCTTTTGGTAACTTACCTTTAATGCCTAGCCAAACCAAGGAAAGAAAAAGAAATATCATAAAAGCAGAAAAATTTTTTTCCAGTAAAATAAACGCCAAAAATTACCTCGATATTTATCAAACAATATTAGATAATTTTTATCTTTCCTTGATTACGCTTGATGAAGAAACTGATTCAGAAATTTTTATGACTTTAAACACGGCCGGTGAAGACTTAACAATTCCCGATTTAGTAAAAAGTTTGCTTACTCGTCGAAATGATTTTCAAGCCCGGAAATTTGCGGAGATTTGGGAAGAAAAAATAGTTAAAAAAATCTGTTTCCCTCCCACTTCCAAAAAAAATCGGAGTGATAAAGTGAAAAGATTTTTGATTACTTTCTGAGAAGCACGAGTAAGTAATTGCTACAAAAAAACATTAGATGATAAAATACTTCGTTATTATCGGACAGAAATTAAACCCAAAAACCCAGAAGAAAACAGTAAATTTCTTGACTTAATGGTAAGATATGCCGAAATTTATGAAAAGATAATTGATGCTGGCAGATACCAATGGTGGTGAGAACAAAATTGACCTTCCGAGATGTTTAGAACTATTTCTGATATCCACCTTCTAAACCGTAAGGAATTATTTTCTTTGGTTCTAGCTATACATTTTCAATTTCAAGAAAAAACACGAGAAGAAAAATTAATGATAACCAAAGAATTGAAAAAGTTAGTAATTTATATTTTCCGCACCATAATTATCAAAGGAAAGATTGAAGATGAAAATGCTCTCCGAACCATTCGAATTAACATTTTAAAAATGGTAAACTTGGGTCAGATTTTATTGTTCGGGCAAGAAAAATATCCCATCAATCTAATCATTGAAGAATTTCGTCAAGGTGCTGATTCATTCTATCAATCTCTTGTTGAACGCCAAAGCAAGAAAGATAAAGGACTAGAAATCGAAAAGTTCATTTTTATAACTTATTATCAAAAGAAAATCAAAGAAAGCGAACTAATAATAAACCTATTCGATTACGACATAAGACAACTGGTATCACAAAATTT